TACTCCATACCACTGGACCCCTAGTGATTTCACTGAGGAAGAAAGCTCTTGAATTTTACAAGATTTACTTCCCATCCTCTGAAAGGCAAATATCTTACCAATATGTGTACAATTGCTACTTCTTGCATATAATCTTCAATGTAATGGACCAGTGTGATTTTCTGTCGAAGGGAAAGGAGGCCTCCGCACACTAAACCATAACATAGGGCTAAAGAGTTCATATATCCTGTGGTGGGACAGTGAAGGTGAATAACTGGCCTTGCCAGCTGAAAGTGAATTCCTTCTGGTAGTCTTTTTCAACAGGTGTAGAGGGAAAAAACATTTGCCAGTTCAACAGCTACATACCAAGTACTAGGGAATGTGTTGATTTGCTCAAGCAATGAAACCGCTTCTGGGATAGCAGTACAACTAGAATCACCACTTAATTCCATTTATAAAAATCCATGGTCATTCCCAAGATCCCTCTGTCTTCTACACATGCCAAATAGGCAAGTTGAACAGGAATGTAGTAGTTATCACAACCTCTGCAACTTTTTTTTCAAAAAATTTTTAATGTTTATTTTTGAGAGAGACAGAGTGTGAGTGGAGGGGGAGGAGCAGAAAGAGCGAGACACGGAATCTGAAGCAGGTTCCAGGCTCTGAGCTGTCAGCACAGAACCTGACGTGAGCCTTGAACTCACAAACCATGAGACCATGACCTGAGTGGAAGTCGGACTCTTAACCTACCGAGCCACCAGGTGACCCCCACCTCTGCAACTTTCAAGTCCTTGATGGTAGAGCTAATTTCTGCAAACCCTCCAAGAATGTGGTATTGCTTTTGGTTTACATTTTTATAGGCAGAGAGCCTAAATATTTTTTTAAATATTTTTTACTTATTTCTAGAGGAGAGAGAGAGAAAGACAGCATGAGCAGGGGAGGGTCAGAGAGAAAGGGAGACACAGACTGAAACAGGCTCCAGGCTCTGAGCTGGCAGTCAGCACAGAGCCCGACGCGGGGCTCGAACCCACGAACCGCGAGATCATGACCTAAGCGAAAAGTCGGACGCTTAACCGACTAAGCCACCCAGGCGCCCCAAGCCTAAACATTTTTATATAGAGAGAGCACAAGCAGGGGAGAGGGGTGGAGGGTGAGAGAGAGAGAGACTCTCAAGCAGGCTCCATGCTCAGTGTGGAGCCTGACTCAAGGCTTGATCTCATGACCCTGGGATCATGATGTGAGCTGAAATCAAGAATTGAACGCTCAACCAACTGAGCCACCCAGGTTGCCCCCATTTGGCCCTTTCTACCATAGCAACCTTTGCCCTATAGCTCAGGGGACCAATGTGGGGATTCTGCTAGTCACTGAGCATATCTATTTTAATTACACATTCTGGAACTGGGGAAGCAACCACAGGATGTGCTCAGAGACCCACTGGGCCTAATGTGAGATGAACCTGAGCTAAAACTCCATTAATCACATGACTTCCATAAGACCCTACATTGTGTAGACACAATGATGTTTTGGGTTTCCATGAATCAGTGTCAAGTTCGAGCCATGGTCTACTAATCTCCCAAAGTGTGATTATTTCTTTTCCCTCAATGTACAATCACCCAAGTAGATGGCCACAGGACCCTTTGGGGGAAGGGTAATATACATTTTTGGCAATGTTAGCAAGGTTCTTCCTCAAGAGAACTTGGCCTAGAAAACTAACAGAGATCAGGATGAAGACTTATCAAATTTTATCTGGCTGACTTTATTGAAAAGGACCCACTAAGCAGACGTTCTAGATACAGCATGTTCCCTCTGAAGGTTAGAAAAGCTTAAGTTTGTTAATAAATAATACACATTTTTGGCAGTGTAGCAAGGTCCTTCCTCAAGAGGAGTTGGTCACTCCTTCATTCAAAGAATTCTAAGTGTATAAACTGGCTCAAGTCTAGAACATGATGGAGGAGCTGTGACTTTCTGTTTTGGTGATGCAATTTAGGACTTCTGTTCACTAGACCTAGAACTCTTCTGTTTATACCAACTATGAATTTAGTAGATAGGCCATTTCTTTTTTTTTCCCCCCTAGGGACACTATGATCAAGTGGAATGTCATAGGTGTCTGCAAGTCAGACAATCTGCTTACTGCTTTGGTTCCTCTGTCCATCACAGTAACCACAGCCATCTAGTTTTTGGCAACTAAGTGCCACCTCTTGGTCCCTGCCATCCTAGGATTCTATTATCCCCACTGCATTTAGGAATCGCAATTTTATGGTAGTAGTTTCTACTGTGAGATTTACCGGATTACAGAGAAGAAACATTGCAGAGCTCTTTAAAGATGCTGGTACTCCCCTCATAGATTTATTTCTCACAGTCACGGTAAAGGGTAATGTCTTTTGGACCCTTCTGGGGTGGATGAGCAAGTCTTACATAGAAAGTCCATTCTAACGTGTCAACCTGCTTACCTCCAAGCCTTTGGGTACCTTCCCCAATAGTATCTTAGGCAGTTCGGGCACTTCATTTAGTGTAGGCACTTTGGGGAGGATGGACGTCAAGTGATCAATAGGGTATTGCTCAGGTCCTTCTCATAGTGGGCCCTAAACCTATCTTATGATTATTTCCCCAGATTCACATGCATAATAGAAAAGACATACTCAGCAATCATTCAACCCGTTAAAAGGGTTAAGCTTTTTCTAACCCTTGGAGGTAAAATGTTGTATCTAGAATATCTACTTAGTGGGCCCTTTCCAATAAATTCAGCCTGATAAAATTTTGTCATTCTTCATCTTGATCTGTGAGTTTTTTAGCCGCTACAGCAAAGTACCAAAAAATGAGGGTTTAAAACAACAGAAACCTATTCCCTCAGAGTTCTAGAGGATAGATGTCTGAAATAAGTTGTCAGCAGGGACACACTTCTAGACTCTTTGGAACCATCTTTCTTTGCCTTTTCCAGCATTTCTTTGCATATGGTTACAACACTCCAATCTCTGCTTCCATTTTCACGCATCCTTATTTCTTCTGTCACTATATTTCTGCATCCTCTCCTCTTACAAGGACACCGGTCATTGGATTTCTGGCCTACTCTAATCTAGTAAGACCTTCATCTTAACGGATTACATCTGTGAAGACCCTATTTCCAAGTGGGTCACACTGACGTCCAAGTGGACATGAATTTGGGCAGATACTATTCACCCCACTCTAATCCCACATCCTGAATAGCCATGGGAAATACAGCTCCTATATTCTTTTGTATGCTCTGAATTTTTTAAAGCATGTGTGCTTATTACTTTTTCAAAATTAAAGGGAAAAACCCACCCCATAGTTTTTCGCCTCAAAGTACAATTTATCCCTATTTTTCCAGTTTATTGAAAAATAATTGACACACATCACTGCATCAATTTAAGGTGTATAACACGACAGCTTGATTCACATATACTGTGAAATGATGACCGCAGTAGGTTTAGTTAACATTCATCATCTTATATAGATACAAGAAAAAAAAATTCTCGGATCTACCCTTAACAGCTTTGTTATATATCATACAGTAGTGTTGGACATAGTCATCATGTTGTACATTACATCCCTAGTACTTATTTATCTTAAAACCGGAAGTTTGTGCCTTTTGACGGCTTTCCTTCAATATTCTTGGAGGGAAAAAAAATATTCGTCCATCCAGTTTCTCCCTTTGATGCCCACTACCATCTAGCCTCCCCGCGTGGACTTCGTTTTGCCCTTTCCCCATCTTTTCTCTAACTGCAAAGTGATCTTTTAAAATAGTCTCCCGGGCGCCTGGGTGGCTTAGTCGGTTAAGCGTCCGACTTTCGCTTGGGTCATGATCTCGATGTTCGTGGGTTCGAGCCCCGCGTCGGGCTCTGTGCTGACTGCCAGCTCAGAGCCTGGAGCCTATTTCAGAGTCTGTGTCTCCCTCTCTCTCTGACCCTCCCCTGCTCACGCTGTCTTTCTCTCTCTCTCCTAGAAATAAGTTAAAAAAATATTTAAAATAAAATAAAATAGTCTCCACCTTCCAATCTTTCGGGAGGATCAAGCACAAGTTCCCTCTTTAGCCTAAGGAGGCTTTTTACCATCTGGTCTCTTAACATTCTTCTTCCAGTTTCATTTTTCAGGAAAATCTCCTGCTACCTGCCTGTTTTGTCCCCGAACGGTTGCAGGTTTCGGAAGTGCCCATGGGTTCCCTCCCTCCACATCCTGGACCCTCCCTCCGCCTTAGGAATACCCCTGTGCATTCCCTGACTGCTCATCCTTCGAGGCTAGGCTAGTCTCTCCCCAGGGATGAAGCATTTCGCCTTCTTCTGGTCTTTGAGGTCTGTTAATATTTTCCCTTTGCTCTGCTCGTATTCCCTTCCATCAAGTTTCACTTTAAAGAAAACAGCCCAGGAGCGCGCAGTGCAGAGCCCGCCCATCGGCCCGGGAGAACCAGTCCGGCCTCCCGCCTCGCCGACGGGAGGGACCGTCACACGCAGCCCGGGAGCGGCACGCCTGACCCCACGCCCGAGCCCAGAGCTCTCCGGGCTCGGGGGCGGGTGGCGACGCAGCTGTCACTCGGGGAAGGCCAGGCCAGCCGCACGTCGCTCAGGCTGCCCACATCCTCCGTTTCACGGTTGAGGCGACCCCGCCCGGTTCGGAAGTCCAGAATGACAGTGCAAGCGCCCAAACGCGTTAGCACTCTTCACACCCCACGCGGGCCCCCCTCGTGCTCGCGTTCCGCCGTTCGTGCAGCGTTTTCCCCTCCCGTTCACGCCCCGGAAGGGCCGCAACATCCACCGCAAACCTGACGCGCGGGGAATTCCCCCCCCGGCCCCCCGCGGTTTGGACCAGCTGTGTGGAGCATGCGCAGTGTCCACCCCATGCAGGGCTTCTAAGCGACCGCGGCTCAGCGCGCGCCGCCGCTGGCCCAGCCGCGGCGTCGAACGACTCCCCGCCCACCCAGGCCTAGCGGGCCACGCCCCCTCATCGCGGGTCAGAGGGCGCGGGGCCGGCGGGCGTGACGCGTGCGGAAGCGTTCTGCGCAGCCTCGGAAGCCGGCGGGCTGTACAGCGGCGGCGGCCACGGCCGGGCGCCCCGACGGGAGGGGCTCCGGGTCGTTCGGAGGCGGGCGGACCTCGGCGTCGCCGCCGCCGGCGGTGGCCCGATGAATCGGGGCACCATGCCCCAGCCCGGATCGTGGCCGGGCGCGAGCTGCGCCGAGAAGCCGGCGCGGGAGGCGGGGGCCGCGTCCCCGGGCCCCGCGAGAGCCGCGGCGCGGGAGGGCGGGAAGGCGGCGGCCGGCGGGCAGCCGCGGACCGCGGCGCGGTGCCCAGCCGAGCAGTGAGTCGCGGGGCGCAGAGGGGGCGGGCGGGGGGCGCTGAGCTCGGTCCCCTCGGGAAGGCCGGGCGTGGGGTGGGCTGGGGAGTAGCCGGCTAGGAGCCCTTCGCACCCCGTATTCGGGGTAAGGTCGTCGGCGCCGGAGGCGAGTCCGAAGACGCTTGTGTCCAGTGTCGGTACCAGCGGTTTCCCCGCAGGGCCTGTCTCACAGCCTGGTCACCCAGTGCCCCCTCTTTTTACATCTGCATGCTCCAAAGTTAAAACAGAGCTCCAGGAACTTGGGGAACAAACCGGAAAAGCGTAGTGTTCTAGCTAACTCCCAGTGAACCTTTCCCCCGAGCTGGTTGGGGAAGGAAGTAAGGTTGCTTCTGTCACAGCCCAAAGAAACCCGAACCATGCGACACGTTTGTTCTTGGAAGGCAACTTGCCGCTTGATGACCGCCCCACCTGTTGAATAGACTTTGGACCGAGTCTGACCCAATTCCCTTTTGCCCGTTAAGAGCTTAACAAGCTCTCCTCCCGCCCCTTTATTTTTAAATACGAAAGGTAGTGCAGGCTACAGCAGTTATTCGGCGAACTATCAAGAAGGCAGCCCGAGTCGGAAGAATTTACAGTTTGAGCAAAGCTCTAGGGTGGGGAAGGTGGAAGCGGAGTATGCACTTGAAGGCTGAAACTTTTTCTGCACTTTCAGGTTCTAGGCGCCTATAAATGCCTTTGAATCCCAGAATTAATGGAAGCACTCAGATAACTATGTTGATAACTTAATTGGCTGGCAAGTTGAATTGTAAAGTGTGTTCAACTTAGATTTTTTTTTTTTTTGCCATTTCCAAAAAAGGGGTGCTCGGCAGGCCTGCTACACAGCTAGTGTATTATAGTAACTTTCGTGTGCCCGGTTCTGTACCACGGGCGTTGATATTCTCATTTATTGAGCATCTAAACCCTCTGGGATGGTATTATCCACTCTTAATGTGTTAATGGCTACGGGGAAAGCTTTGGAATAGGCGGTGGAGAACTCCTGCCAGGAGCTATGCGGGTAACCTCGTGAGCAGGGCTGGCCAGGTGTGGGCCATGGGTTTCTGGAGAGCTGTGTCCATCGCTGTTGGGGTCAGAGTCCTCTAGGTTCTATCCTGTGCTTGCTGGATTGTCTGTATTTATTTATTTATTTTTTATTTTTTTAAAATGTTTTATTTATTTCTAGGAGAGAGAGAGAGAGACAGCGTGAGCAGGGGAGGGTCAGAGAGAGAGGGAGTCACAGACTCTGAAACAGGCTCCAGGCTCTGAGCTGGCAGTCAGCACAGAGCCTGACGCGGGGCTCGAACCCACGAACCGTGAGATCATGACCTAAGCGAAAGTCGGATGCTTAACCGACTAAGCCACCCAGGCGCCCCATGGATTGTCTGTATTTAAAGAATCCAAATACTCTGACTTTTTGATGATATACCTTGATTTTTAAGTTGAAGCCACTGTACAGACCTATCCATGTGTGAGCTGGTGTGGTCTCTGGCTGCAGCTTTGCTCTCTGGGTTAGAGAACTCCTGCAGACTCTGCAGAGGGTAAAGTGGGCTGGGGAAGGTGGGGGTGTCTTCTGCTTCTGCCCCCCTCCCAGCCCATGCTGCTTTCTGACTGCTGCCGCCTTGTGTTTGCCCTGGTGGTCAGAGCCAGGACTCCCTGGTGAGAGACCCTGCTCCCGGAAGCTGCACCTTAGCCTTGGCCTGAGCATTCTCATGCCCGCATGAGATGCAGCAACTTTGGGGCCAGAGTCCTGTTCCTAAAAGTATGCATACTTATTTGGCAAGTTTCCAGAGTCAAAACCTAGGGAAGTAGGTCATGGTGAGAAAGAGCACTCCTTCCTTCCCAGAAGGTTTTGAGGCACGCCTCTTCTTACTGCTGCAGTAGAATTACAGATTTAGTCTGAAAGGGATGTGGGGGGAAAAAAACCCACCCAGCCTAGGTTTGTCATTTTACATATTAGGAAATAGGTGCAGATTCCAGAGGGGCAGCTCGGCCAGGGAGACAGAATGGGTTTGAGGGCCGAGTTCCCTGGTGCCTCAATGGGAACCTCACCCCCATCTCTTTCTGGCTTTTCAGCAGAACCAGACAGAGGAACATGGTTTATAAGGACCTCTCCTAGCATGTTTGAGAGATGTAGTTGGCTGTCATCCCCTGGACAAGAATGGCTCACAAGATGACTAATGGTCTGATTTGAAGACGTCTTAGACCAGACCAGATTTGGTTGACTTTTCTTGAAGCTTCCTCCCCGTTCCTATGAGCAGGTTGACTGTGATTTATCCCCTGCTCCCCCTACCCCTACATTTAAAACTTAGGCTGTGTCTACTTCTTGTCCTCAGCTAAGATAATCCATGCCACATCCTTGAGGGCCAGGATGGTCCTGGGACATGGTTGGTGGCCAGGCCAGACATGCTTAGGGAATTGAGAAGCAAGACTGCTCCAAGGCCCCTCTTTGCCTGATGGTAAGGACACGGTTTAAATCTAGGGTCCATAGGCCGGCTGTGGATGGAGGAGCGCATGTCTGTGAGCCCCTCTGAAATTGAAGGTGAAATTTGATGTGTATTTTCTGGGCTGAGGTTCTGGTGAAAGCTGTGGATTTTCAAAAGGACTGCGAACAAGTTGTTAAACCATCGTTCTTGGGTGTTGCTCTGTGTTTTCCCACCTGCCTCACTCCTGACCTCATGTGGGGTGTGTTTGACAGGATAACAGCTACTCCCTCCTGCCCCTTCTCCCACCTGGATGTAAAGCTTGTTTCAAACCTCATTGTTGAGGGTGTCTGGGTTGTCCCCAGATACCTCTGGAAGTCACGTGGAGTCCATGGAAAGTCCACTTGGAGGAGGGAGGTGGAATTTTGGCTTGGGTGCCGGTACTTTCCTGTATTTAATGTGTTGTTCACCCATCTCTACAGCCGCTAAGTGGTGGAGAAGGGCTGGGTTGAGCGGTCTCTGCTTTTCCTGTGCCTTTGTGGGAAGGTACATTGGTGTCACGGTGGCTGACACCGTCTTACCCACACTGCCGGGGCCATTGGTGTTCTAGGACAGGCCACGTTAAGCATGAACTGCAGCGTTCAAGTCCAGAGAGCTGACCAAAGTCCTACTCAGTTTAGCTTTTTTAGACAACAGAGGGGAACTTAATGCAAATGTTCATGATGGCGAGTGGTTCACATACTGGCTTCGCTTTGCATAGAAGTTAGAATTGACTTTTTCCGTGTCCGCATGTTTACTTGTATCAGAAATTGAAAACCTGGCTTTGCAGAAATGTCTTGCTGCACTGACCTCTGTGTTTTTAGTTTTTAGTTTATAGCTTTTGTTCGTGGCAATAACAGAATTTTGTCTGCATGTCGTAAGCAGTTTGTAATTAAGTTTTCAAAAATTTATCATTAATCCGAGTCTTTAAACAGAGCAAGAGAGATTATAATTTAGTATGCAGAGTCATGTAACTTAATCCGTATATTGCCTTAATATTAATAAAATATTTCATCTCAAGCTTAAGAGAAAATGGGAGCTTGAAAATACACACTTTAAAATAACATTGTGGTGCTAAACTAAGAATTTCTAGGAATTTTCTAAGTAGAACTTACTGGGTTTTGGTTTTAAAATTTAACTGAGGCGTGTAATTGAGCATGACTCTGCTGCCATTGTTCCCAAATAATCAAATCCCATTTAAGACTTTTGTCTTAGTTTTCTAGCTATCTGTATGTTTTCTAGAAGGAAGCCTTTTGCGGTGGGGATTCTTTGAGTCCTCGGGTTTTGGTGGCCCGTTAGTGCTGGATGGTAGACACTCCCCATTCCACCTCCAACTTAATTCCTAAACACAAAAGATTCCCGAATTGCTGCAACTGGACAGCATTGACCGTTTTATCTTACACCATAATATCCTTTTTTCCTTTTATTATTTCACCATCCTCCTTTCTCATAACAAAAATTCAAGCTTCTAGTTACTTAAATGTAATAAATGTACAACAAAAACATAAAAAATAAGTAACACATTTATAAATAATAAACAATATATTTATGTGTAATAAATTGGTAAATGCTTCATTTGTCATTTTCAACTATTAATATTTCAATGCTTAAAAAGGTTAAAGCAAAAGCTTATTCTATTTCTTTTTTTTTTAATTTTTAAAAATGTTTTATTTATTTCTGAGAGAGAGAGACAGTGTGAGCTGGGGAGGGTCAGAGAGAGAGGGAGACACAGAATCTGAAACAGGCTCCAGGCTCTGAGCTGTCAGCACAGAGCCTAACGCGGGGCTCGAACCCACGAACCGTGAGATCATGACCTGAGCCGAAGTCGGACACTTAACTGACTAAGCCACCCAGGCGCCTCATGAACTAGTTTCTTAAAGTTTTTATTTTTCTTGCTGTCACATCTCTCTCTCTCTCTCTCTCTCTCTCTCTCTCCAGTCGGTTGTCATTATGTTGGGTGACTATTTCATTTTGGTTGTTAGATATCTTCTCCTCTGACCATACTAATAGAACTTACTGCTTAAACTTAAAATTTATTCTCTCTCCAAGGAATTAGAAGCCATATTACCATTTCCTTGGTGGCTTTGTGAAGTTAGCAAATGTCCTTGGATGCTTGTCCTTGATGGCTAGGGAAGTTGGCAAACAGTTGTGCACAGGATCTGAATGAAATCTGATTGTGGCTGAAGTAATTTGAATGTGCTCTGGCCTCCCATTCATCAGTTTCTGCTTTGCTTCTTTTGTGTATCTTGAATCACTGCTTTTTTATTTCCAGTAATCTTTCCTTCTCCTCTGTCTTCCCTTTGCATTTTGTTCTCCTGTCGATTTCTTTTCGTTTCTTTCCTATTGGACATTGTGGGGATTTGTATGTGTGGCTGTTCCCGGAGATGCTTGTTTAGGGAACTTCCTCTGGGCCCTGGGGTTGTGATCGCACTTTGGTTATTTTGCAGGTTAAAAACGAAGAGGACAGAAGTAGAGCCAAATGTGCCTGCAGCATAGCCACAGAATTCTCTTGAAGCACAATTTTTTAACAACACATAGGTTCATAGCGTGTTAGAACCTCAGGTCTGGAAGAGGAACCACGCAGAGCGTACGGATCTTGCCCACTCCTCTCACTCTGAAGATGAGAAAACTAAGGCCAGATTAGGGAAGTGGCTTGCCTGAAGACGTGCCTCTGATGATGATCACTTAAATGCTTGTTTTGTAGGATCACAATTTCTCTCCTCTTTGCTAAAGCTAGGAAAGAGGCCGGAAGGTACAATGAAATTGTTGAAAGAAGAACTAACCTGTTTAGTCCCTTTTTATTTTAGGCGTTTGATGTAAGCTCCCTGCGAATCTGGTTTCTGTTTGCTTTTATGTCTGGCGTGGGCTCCCGGGGTGACGCCATGGCTTTTCCTTGGAACCTCACGGGGGTCAGAGCACATGGAAAGTACCTTTTCCTAAGATGTCCCCTCAGCCCCACAGTATTTTAAAAAGTAGGCCCCTCCACACCATCACCTTTATCGAGAGAGAAAAAAAGGAATAGGAAATAACTGTTGGGCGAATTGTTGATTAATACTCTGCACCAGGGCTGTCGCATGAGAATCAGAGCAGCTGACTCTTCAGAGCGCTCATAATTTACGTGTGTCTTTTCACAACATCTTTTGAGGAAAGTGCTCTTACTGTCTTTTGTTTACAGGTGGTTACATTTAGGTACTGAGAGGTATAGTTCCTTTAGTTCCATGGGCGCACACACAGGGCTAGCAAGGTGCCAAGGAGTGGCTAAACCCTGACGTTATGACTTCCGGGTCCCCACTCCAGCCATGGCGCTCTGGGGCAGGGCCGCCCATGCCACGTGCGTCCTGATGTGTTAAGCAGTGAGCCGCGTGTTGAGCAGAGAGAGTGGAGGGAGCCAGCCCCAGGTGGAAAAGCCTAGGCCGGTGTTGGTCAGGTGTTTGGACGGAAGCGTGGGGTACAAGCTAGAGTGGCAGATTAGGTCCATATATAGACTTCCTGCTTCTTGGGAGCCATCCTCGTTTCAGTGACGTGGGAGAAGGTGGGTATGTTAGATTCCCCACTTCAGTCTGCTTCTCTCAGTACCCCTTCTTTTGTCTCTTGTTCCGGCTTACCTCTTCCTTCCTCTTTCCCCCGCTGTGCTGGGCCGTGTGCTGGGAGCTGGGGTAACTGGGGACGGGAGTTTCTCGGGTCCGTCGCTTAATTCCTTATTTGCTATTAACCTTATTAACTCCTTCCTGTGATTCATTGGACCTGGGGTCTCTGTCTTGTGTGAGGATTGGGGGTGTGCTGGCATAGGGTTGGGGGTCCGATTATAGCATACGTCTACGCCAGCCACTTTCCTCGTTTTCAGCTCTGGGTGTCTCCGGCACCCTGAGCCTTCCTGGGGTTCTGCAAGTTTATTGGTCTTACCAGCCACCGGCACGGAGGCTGTCCTGTCTTCCGTCATGTGCTATTTCATTGTCCACTTTGGACTGTGTGGGCTTCCACTTGCCTTGTGGTTTTTAGCCAAGACAGAGTTGGTATTTCTGTTTCTCATCATTGTCAGGTTGTGGTTTATCTTGGGGGAAAAGGAGATACGCTTTATCAGTCCCTGTCTAGCACCTGTGGGGTTTTCCTCCTTTCTAGTACATAGTAGGTTCTTGTTCAGTCACTAAATGAGGCTAGAGAGAGACTCTTCGGGAGCCCATCACGTAAGTCCCAAGTCAGATTGGCAGCAGCTCAGCATGTGGGACAGGAGGGATGGTGCCACAGGACGTGGGTGGCTGCGTGGATGTGGGGGTCAGAGCACTCGGAGCCTTGGGAGGGTTGTTCGTTTTGAGGACTTGAAATAATCGATATTTTCCCGACCCTTGTTTTTAAAGTAGTGATGGTAAAATATGCTTGTGACGTACGAAACTGTGAAGCAGAGTGAGAGAAACGTGTGCATCAAGGATTTAAGAGCCACACTTCATCAGTCATCGTCATGTAACATGAAAAAGTTAAACTTTGAGTGTCTTACAGCTTTTTTAAGCACGCGCATACTGCAATAAGAGGGAAAATGTCCGTGCAACAAATTTTTGAAATGTCTAATTTGGTGTGATTTCAGTGAGGAGGACATGTATCGTGCCGCGGATGAAATAGAAAAGGACAAAGAATTACTTATACATGAAAGAGGGTTATCAGGTATGTTTGGAATTGTTTTATTTATAGATTTCTTACTATTTATAGTGGAAAATGCAGTTAAATCAGTGTATCCATTTCCATAAAATACTGAGACGTGCTTCCTAGGAAACATTCTTCTGCATATGCTCTTAGCTGTGTCTGATTGTCCATTTTGCCGAGTATGTTTGGGCAGTACCGGTTCCTGAGATTTTAAGAATTTCATGCGCACATTCTCCCCACGTCCTCTACATTCATATCATTTTTGCACCGTGAGGATTTGTTTAAGCTCTTGACACTGCCCTCTCTCAGCTCCTGCTCTCCCTCATATTCTTAGAGGGAGAGTTAGGGTGTGAAATGCCCCTTTCCTTTCCAGTGGAAGGACTTCTTGAGAAGCTTGGCTCCACGTGTCTTTGCCTGCAGGTGGCCGCGTGGGTGTGATGGGCTTGCGAGAAAGAGCGATCGCGGGGTCAGTAGCCCAGTTCCCCTCATTTCATGACTTTCTGTCCGTGTTTCTGCTCAGTTATGCCTGCTCTTCTCACTGCACGCAGAACCCATGGGCCCATCGCCGCCAGGGTGAGGGGTTACCCCGGCCCCCTCTGTGGGGTGCCTGGCCTTCCCCGCTGGCCCGGGCAGGGGCTGAGTGGGGTGCTCCATGAGGGGGAACACGCTGTAAACGACCCACAGGTGGCATTTTCTCTCATGACCTGTGTCCCGTGTGTGTGTTCTGCTGGTCGGTTTTGAGAACTAACCTCTGTTTACTTTATGGTCAACACAAATCATTGTCACACGTGTGATTAGGAACCCGTGATACAGAGCGGGGTTTTTGATAATTTTCAAGGCTGTCTTGAGTCGTCCTCACAAGGGGTTGGCGGAGCTCTTTACCGTGCCAGCCCTCGGGGACGTGCTGGGTGTCCAGTCTGGTGTCCGGGCCGGTGTCCACAGTCAGGTGCGTTCCTGGGCCGCGCGCTCCGTCCTCCGTGAAGTTTCCGCGGGTGCGCGGTTTCCGCTGCTGCCATTGCACACGGTCCGTTCCGGACGCAGAGTCCTTGTCAGTCGTGCTCCTGAGGAGGAGGTGCTTCCTCGGTCGTCGGGTGTCCCCGCTGCGTTCGCAGGGCCTTCTTGCTTTCGGAGCAGCGACTCCACCCTGACCGCCGCTGTGGCCCTCCGCACGCTGCGGCTGTTCCCGCTTTTCAGCGAGTGTGTCATTTCAGCTTCAGTCCCAGCTGAGGTGGATCCCTTGACACCCCTTCCGGCGCCTCAGTCCTGGGTTCAGCGCCCTTCCTGAGATAGGTCCTTGGGCAGTGCCTCTGTAAGGGTCTGTTGGCAGGGAGCTCTGTTGGCTGGAGAATTTGTTTCACTTTGTTGTCTAATAACCCCAGACGGCAGGTGTTTTTTCTCTCACCTTTCTGAGGACTCTATTGCGTTGTCGTGTCGTTTCTAGGGGAGTGAGAGTACTGCAGTCACACCAGTCCTTGGTGGATAATGTGTGTTTCTCTGCAGTTTCTTTCTGAAGTCTGTGAAGTGTGGACTTTGAAAAACATACTGCTTGAGGTTGTCTTCCTTTTGAATCCCTAGATGCCTCGTTTACACCAGATTGGGAGCCTTCTCAGCCATTATCGTCTTGAATGTTGTCCTTTTCTCATTTGCCCCATGTGCTCCTTCCGGAACTCTCAGTAGATGTGTGCTACCTCCTTCCGTCATCCAAGGCTCCTTGTGACATGCCCTTTCGTAGATTTTTTTTGTCTTGCAGCCTCTGTTCCATTCTGTGCTATTTCTTTGCATCTCTTTTCTTTTCTTTCTTTTTTGGAAAAGTTCTGGGGATGCCTGGCAGGCTCAGTCAGTAGAGCATGCGACTCTTGATGTTGTGGATGTAAGTTCAAGCCTCACATTGGGTATAGAGATTTAAAAATAAAATCTTTCTTTTTAAAAAAGTTCTGTTTTCCCTTCAGATTTGCCTGGTCTCTTTTTGATAGTTTATTGCCCTTTGCTCGTGTTTCTTACTCCTTTTTATTTCTTTAAGCATTTAAAACCTCCTCTTCTGGATCTGAACATTTCATTCCCTGAAAATCTTGGCAGGTCTGATTATGCCATGTGCTGTCTTTGCTTATTTCTCGTTTCTTCAGAGTTTGAATTGTAAGCTCAGATTTTGCGTTTCTGTGTAGGGCTTGTGCGCTCTGCCTTGAGTTTGCGAAAGAGTTTGGCCTTGTTCCCACGAGGCACCCGGGGTGTCACTGACCTTGGGCCACATTATTGCTAATTTCTAAACTTGAGTTCCCACGGTCTTGGGGCTAATCTGAATTCCCGCCCTGTCCCTGTATGAGAGGCAGCTGGGAATTTTGAATTCTCAGGGAGACTTCCTCTTTCCCAGGCCAGAGCTCAGACCAATGCAGAAAGTTTTCTTTTGCTCTCTCGTTATTAGTGAAAACACCTTTCATTAACAAAGGGGTCTAGGGGTTGGCAAACTATGGCTCCCTGGCCAAATCTGATGTGCCACCTGGTTTTATAAATAAAGTTTCATTGGAGTTTCTGAGTCTACATATTGTCTGTGGTGGCTTTCACTCATGGTAGGGTTGAGTAGTTGTTCCAGAAACCGTATGGCCCTCAGAGCCCACGTTATTTACTCTCTAGCCCATTACAGAAAGAGTGTGATTTCTGCCCTAACCCTCCCTCTGAGAGTCCCAGCTTCCTGAAGTTCAGTTTTAAGTCCACATCTTTCCAGATTCTGAATGCTTGTCTTTGTTACCGTATGGGGGTCGGGACCAGACCTCTTGGTTATTTGCGCTCCTGGTCATTGCTGTGATTTTCAGCTTCTCCTTTAGATTCCTCCTCCTCCTCCTCCTCTTCTTCTTCTTCTTCTTCTTCTTCTTCTTCTTCTTTTTTTCCATTTGAAATGTTCTTTCTTGGGGCTCCAAGGTGGCTCATTTGTTAAGCGTCTACTTCGGCTTAGGTCGCGATCTCACGGTTTGGGAGTTCAAGGCCCACATCAGGCTCTCTGCTGTCAGCGCGGAACCGGCTTTGGATCCTCTTCCCCTCCCTCTGCCCCTTCTCCGCTGGTACACGCACTCTCTCAAAAATGAATAAACATTTAAAAAGAAATGTTCTTTCCTGGAAATAATAAGAGTCTGTAGTTTGCAGTTAAATGAAGAAAGGAACCGTGCTGCTTGAGGAACGAAGCTGCTTGAGGTCAGGCACTGCCTGTCCCGCGCCTCTAGCTCCTGCCCTGGAGGAGGGCGCATGGGGGTTGTTGGAGCCTCCCTCCCGAAGGGACTCAGAGCATCGTTTTGATGCGAGCAGCCGAGCAGCTGTGTGGGTGCTCCCTTTCCCACCCTCACTGCCTCCCGCAGGCCTCTCGCTCAGCACAGGCTTGTGGCCTGTGACTTGTCCTTTGACCTTGTGAGGTCTCCTGCCCCCTCCTCTCGGTTTGGCGCCGGTCACCGTGCCTGGGGCCCAGGGCTTTTCTTGGTGTAGGCAGGGAGGGGGAGCGCGGGCCGGGAGAGTAGGGAGGCGGGGCGTTGTTCCCACGAGGTCCTTCCTGCGCCGGATGTGCTGTCCGTAAGGCTCCTAACCCTGCCTGGGGGAAAAACGGCCCGGTGTCCTCAACCCTGCACCTTTGCGGTTCTCGTACGTTGTGGGGAGGTGAGCGAGGAGGCAGACGCGAGGAACTCTTCCCTCCACGGCATCGACGCTCAAAGAATGGTTTTTGAATTTCAGCACCAGCGGGCCTGTATCTGAGGCGCAGCGCTGGTGTCTGCGGGCTCTGCGTGTTTTGCTTCGAGGGTGTACCTGCGCTTAAGCCGGTCCTGATGCAGGCCGCAGAGATCGGATGTCCGTTATCCGCGGAAGGGACTTGTGTTCCTTACTCCTCCCTCTGTCCATCGCACCCTGGCTGTTGTCCTTCCTTCAGCTCACAGACCCGTCCAGGACAGAGCCCGGGTCTTCACGGCCCTCGTAACCCCGGTTTCCAGCTCAGTGCTTGGCTCGTGTTAGACATTCAGTAAATATTTGTCGAATTGAGCTGCGTGTGTTTTTACTTTATACCTTCCCCAGGAGTAAATACATTGTAAGGTGCTTCGGTCTTTATATCCTAATTTCCTTGCTAGCATTTACTTCTTCAGTAATTTAAAAAGGACGTCGAGGTGTGTGTGAGAATTTACCTCACTTTCTTCCTAAAACACCCCCCCTCCCCCATGTGCGTGCATACACATATACCACAAATCAGACCCAAACTTCATATGTTAAACAAGGAAAATCTAAGCGCCATTTTTTATTATATAATTTAATTGCAAGTTTTTTTTTTTAATGTATCGTTATAGTCAAATGAGGTCCATAGTTGGGCTAATATTGAGAGCTTCATCAGTTTGGCTTATTATCAACAGCTTATAGCCTTTTGGGATCAGGCAGAGTGTAAATAAATAAAGACAAATATAGTTTTTGTTAAGGTAGCTGTTATCTTTTTGTATGATAGATATAAAAAGTAAAAACCATTAGATGTATTTTTTCGTGGCTGAGACTTGCACATTTAATTTGATGAGAATAGTATTCTCAGGCACCGTGTGTCAGTGCAGTTCCAGGTGCTGAGATCACAAGTGAGACACAAAATAAGCCCTTGCAGTTCAGGCATTTTGCTGTATTGTGTTTGTGGGGGTGGGAATGTGTGGGGATTTAGGGGAGGAATGCAGAAAAAGAAATATGGCCGGTGTTGATCAGTGCCAAGAAGAAGAACAAAACAGTGTAAGGGGACTAGAGTGAAGCTGTGTGTGTGGCATTGTGACCTGGGGGTGTTAGGTGACACTTGAGCAGAGAGCGGTGGGCAGGGAGTGATGGAGCCCCGCAGAGCGGTGGGCAGGGAGTGATGGAGCCCCGCAGAGCGGTGGGCAGGGAGTGATGGAGCCCCGCAGGGGTCGGAGAACAGGCGAGGCTGCAGGCGGGGCTGGAGCAGCTGCTCTGGGGAGGGGGAGGAGCAGAGGCCCGAGACGCGGTGCTGGCCTGGGGGTAGGACATGGGGGCCTTTGTAGGAAGTAAGGGCATTCGTTCCACTTGGGGGGCTCGGGGGGTTCCGGAGCTGTCAGAACCCGGGAGTGGTGGCTGTTGTCTGACTCAAGTGTGAAGTGTATCCCTCTGGCTGCCGTGTGGGGAGTCAGGTATGGGGACGAGGGAGGCCCGTTGGAAGGCGTCCAGGTTATCCAGGAGTGACGCGATGGTGGTAGGGAGTGGCGGCGTTCTGGATCTTTGTGGGATGAGGTTAGAGGAAAAAGTAACCTCTGAGTAAAGCAGTCTGTTATTTTGACGATGCTTTGTTGCCTTACCCACGCTTCTTTTTGATTCTTCAACAGAAGCCAGATTAAGTGTAGCTCCTGAAATGGACATCATGGACTACTGCAAAAAAGAATGGAGGGGAAATACACAGAAAGCCACATGTATGAAAAAGGTACGGGTGCCTGCATGCACATAGTTCCAGTCTTTCAAATAGTCTATCAAAAGTAATTACGTAATGTGTCCTTTTATATTTTTAGACATAGTTACAGCAACTGCTATTAGACTTCATAAATACTGATATTCTAATTTTAGAGATGAGGAAACAGACTCCAAAGGTGAGGGACTTGTTCTGAGTCACAATATTAATACAGAGTCAGGATCAGTTATTCAGTTACTTTGTTTCTTTGAAAAAGGCATCTGCTAGATGTAGATTTGTGCTGCTCAGAGTTGGGTCAATCATTGGTTGTCCTCTTGGGGTCATTTGGGGACAGGTCCTTCTGGCCTGCGGTGGGAAAAGCCTTGGGGATGGGACCTGCAGAGGCCACCCCTGCTGCTGTCCCTACCTGGGTTTGGGGTCATGCTTTCCTGTCTGAGGGCTTGGGCTCTCCTGCACTCCCTGTGCAGAGGGATCTGGAACTGCTCCCTTTCTAACTGTCCCTGGAGCTGCCCCTCCCGGTCCCGTTGCATAGATTGATGACCCTACCTAAGGATCAACCTACCTGAGGCTGTGGGACACCGGGGGTGCCCGTGACGTGGTCCTGCTATGGCTGGGCTGCGCTATTGTTCAGTCGGACCCCTTGACCCGCCCTGCGGTTCTCCCCTCCACCGTGCCCTCAGTCCAGTATTCCTTAGGGGTTCGAACGATGTGAAATTGCTACTCTGACCATTTCTGAGCTACTTAAATGGCATTTTCAACCTAAAACTTCCAAAACCTCTGGGTTTATCCCTTGGTCATTTTTCCCTTGGGATTATTTACATTGTGAATTCGAATGTACTTCTTTTATATTAGAGATATTGGACCTGTTCTATTTGATAGGAACATCTATTTTTGTTGTTGTTTAGATCTGTGTTAGAGTTTAAACTTTAAAATATTCTAATACATTTGTTCTTTTCTTTAGCTCTTGTTTTTATTTATTTCTTTATTTTTTATTTTAGAGAGAGAGCGTGAGTGGGGGAGAGGGGCAGAGGGAGGGAGAGAGAGTCTTGAGGTTCCACGCTCAGTGCGGAGCCCAACGCTGGGCCCGATGCCACGACCCACGATCGTGACCTGAGCCGAAACCAAGAGTTGGACGTCCGTTCAACTGACTGAGCCACCCACGCTCCCCTGAGCTTGTTTTTATAGAAACTATTGTGCCTCTTTCATATGCTGCTCAGGCTTGCCCTGAAATGGGCTGACCTTACTCAGAATGTAGCTGCTCCTTTTAAAGCTCTGAGAGCTGTATTTAGCTCTGCTCCCCGTGAGTCTGAACTGTAGACTCTTCATGTCTCAGGCCCTAGGTCGGGAACTCACTCAAGAAGTACCTGGGACCACGAACATTTAAATTTGCCAGGCCGTCTGCTGCATATGTGTATTGTCTTCTTAGAGGTTTTCTAAACAGCTCTGTATCAAACTAGACAACCAGGAGGCTGGATACCTGACATATGTTTTCTCATCTTCCCCAGAAATGCTTTCCCTGACTTGCAATTTTATTTCATTACCTCAGACTCTTTAAAGGATCTGTTCTAACAATTGGCACTTCTGGGTCCATCATTGAAGATATCTGTTAATTTATCCAAGTATTCCGTATTTTGGAACTCGTGCTAATATCCTTTCCCTCTGATTTTAGTTTGAGGGAAAGATTTGACCATGTAGTTGGGCTCTTTCAGTGACCAAATAATCAAAGTCACATCAGTTGGAAAAGCGTCACTCTGGGACCCGTGGCAGTAATCAGAGCATCTCAGGGACCTGGTGGTAACAGTTTGGGTCTCAGTTTGTTTGGTTTTTTTTTTTGCCCTTATTTATCTTATGGTTTATTTTTGTTTTGGATATTCTTTGGGAAGTGTGTATAAATCCAAATTAATTTTAGAACTTTGATTCACCTCTGAAATAGCATGCATAATGGTGCATTTGGAAAGATGCAGATACCGTTGAGTTAGCCGTGGTGACTATTCTCAGGGTAGCTGGGAGTCCACAGAGGGGAAGAGGTGCTCCGTGGGCCCTTAGTGTGGTACTGTGATTGGACCGCTAAATGAGAACGCAACTCTCAGAATTTTATGGTTGGAGAGAAATCATTTCACACCCACCTGGAACACCATCCTGTGACTTGCACCTTGAAAACTAATAACGAGGGTCCTGAACTTACACACAGCCTGCATGGTGTCTGCCCCACATTGAGGGCGACGTTCCTTCCTGTGTGTAAGTGACGACAGTCAAGGGTGAGTGAGACAGGCAGCAGGGTCCACAGGACGAGGCTAGTGAAGTGCAGGAGTTAGCAAAGTGGATCCTGACGCTCGAGCATCCAAATCAGGCTGTCTGGGTGCCTGTGGACCATTTTATGGTGGCTTTTTTTTGGAGTATGCTTTGAAATGGTCCACTTGGATGGCTATACGTTTGGGTGACTGAACACGTATGTCACTGAGCATTTTCATTTCCTCGTTTCACCTCCAGACTGGATGAGAATGACACACGAGTCCACTTTTTAAAGAGTCTAATAGAATTATCCAGACATCTTCTAGCATGCGGACTTTTTTTAAGTACACCATGGAAGCTTGGGATTTTTTTCCCCCCTGAGAGAGATAGCACGTGTGCGAGGGACAGAGGGAGAGGGAGAGAGAGAATCGTAGACAGGCACCGTGCCCAGCACAGAGCCTGGCACGCAGGGCTCAGTCTCACAACTTTGAGATCATGACCTGAGCCACAGTCAAGAGTCAGACTCTTAACCGACAGAGCCACCCAGGCGCCCCATGGGATTTTTCTTTTTTTTTAAAAAAGGGAGATAGAAACTTAGTATGTTTCTCTTTTTTTTTCCTATCTCTTCGTTAGAGTTTGGGTCACTCTCAACACAGCTCAAACCCCTCAGAAGTCGGTTATCGATAAGTAAGTGTTAACAGCAGTTGTGTTTAGAAAGGGACATCTAACTCCAGCTCCAGGGGCGGTAGTGTCTTTATAATATTTGGTGTATTATTTATATGTTCTCGTGTGTTGCGTCTGTTACAAATGCTGATGTTTTGTACAATACTAACATCTGTTAATTTCTTTTGGTTAATAAAAAAAAGGAATTAGAACGGGTTATGTGAAGGCCTCTGCCAGCTTGTTCTCATTCTTCTGATGATGGGCGGGCACATTTTTCCCCCACAGGAATAAAACTTTCCCTACTCTCTGCAGTCAGTAATGACCACTATGAATTCTTTGATGCTTTTACCCAGGGCTACGAGGAGGTGTCGCAGAAGTTCACCTCCATAAGGCGAGTCCGTGGAGATAATTACTGTGCGCTGAGGGCCACCCTGTTCCAGGCGATGAGCCAGCCGGCGGCGCTGCCGTCCTGGCTGCAGGACCCGGAGCTCACGCTGGTACGCTGCCACCGCAGGTTTGAGTCTGCAATGTTTCCAGTCGTTTTTGTGAGAAAGAGCTTCCACGTTTCCGCCCACGCTACTCACCAGTACTGCCCGTGGTGTGACATCAGCACGTGGGTTTATTCATTCTCATGGGCAGGGGTGATTTTGCATGATAGAAGGACCCAGAATAATTGCTATTTCCCAGAAAAGTCATCGAATTTATTTGAATAATTCAGCTGAATTAAGAGAGCTGGTGGTTAGTTTGTAACAACTGCTTACGACAGTTTGACTCGGTGTCGGTGTGTGTAGTGAGTGGGCTGTGTGTGGAAGCCGCTGGGCACCTGTCGGGGTTTTAGGACGCAGATTCCTGTAGCTTTAGCTCCATTGTGAGAAATCCACACCTTCTGCATAGTGTTAAGTTGGTGTAGCAGGTGGCCTGGGAGAGGCCTGGGAGGTGAGGGTCAGGGGATGTGTCCCGGGCCTGGCCATCTTTGTGTAGTAGTGACACCCAGAATGGCGTGTCAGTGTGACTTGTGTCTATGACACACATCAGATGGAGTCATGGGATGGGTTGGATGATAGAATATCCCAAAAAAGAGTTTGGTGGGCAGGAATGATTGGGCAGAACTGATAATGAGACATTAGTTAGAAGAAACTCAGAAGTCCTGTGCCGAAACAATAATAGCAACACCACCACAACACCAAACCTGTAAACAAAAGCCAGGAGTGCTCGCCGTGGGAGATCGGCCTTAACAGCAGCTCGGGAAGGACATCGGGATGAATGGATCGCAAGTTCAGTCGGAGCCCACATGACGTGTGGCTGGCAGTGGGAACGAAGCCGTGTCCTCAAGGAACATTCTGAACCACAGCCCCTTCTGGGACTGGGCCGGTCAGATCCCGTGTCGAGGGCGGTACGGCTCTGGGCCTGTGTCCTCCGTACAGACGCGAGTGTGACCAAGGTGATTGATCCTGTTGAGGAGCCTTTGAGGGAGCTGGGTATTTTCCTGGAATGAAGACGACTTAGATAAGTTGGTTGGCGGCCAAGCTAGAGATTAGGTCCATGCGGGGTCACACGGCCTCCAAGGGCACCGCCTGCTGAGGCCACTCCATTCCCGCTCATTCTGGCTCCCCCACCATCTTCCCTGGAGAGAGTCCACTCTGACGGGAGCCTGTTTGAGGGAGTGAGGGGCAGGTGGTGCAGCGTGCCTGGAAGAAGGTGGGGTGCGACCAGGCGTGCAGGTGGAGCGGGTGTGGCCTGGCCTGGGACAGGGGTTTGTCTGTCTCCACACACTGCTTGTGTAACTGTGATACGTCATCTGTTCGCTGTGAAATCCGAATTCGCTAGTATACTTGCTGAAGACAGCAGATCATGTGATACTTGAGGCTATTGCTGCAGAACAAGACAGTCTTAAGGGAATTGCAGTATGAAAGTCATTTCTTATGCACCTTCCTGACACATCAGAGTGACATGGATCCTGTCATACTAAGTAAAGCCCCGCTTGTGGTCAGGGCTGGGTCTGAAGTTGTGTAAGAGGCTTGCAGTTGTCAATACTTGAGCAGAGCCGGTGACCCGTCTGCCTCTGTTTACCCTGCTCCCTGATCTTTTTGAAATGTCCAGGCTGCTTCTGACCACCACCCTGTGTCCGGTGACAGTCATGTGTCCTGGTTTGTTCATGGCGCCACCGCCTGTGGTTACCGTGTGTCTGTGGGGCTTTTAGGAGCCTGGGAACACTGCCTACTTCTGGGGACATGGAAGAGAGCTCAGCAGGCAGGTTAAAGGGGATCTCGTTTTGCATACTTAGCCTCTCCTGAACCGCACCGGCTCTCCATTAAGCCACCCCTGCAGCTTCTGGGACCAGAGAGGTCCTGGGACACCTAAGCTTGTAGGAGTTGTAGACTGAGAACCGATGTCGGCCTCTGGGCTGTGGGCCATGCGCTGTGGAGCGTTTCTTGACCTCATCAAGAGTTCGGGCGAGCCCCGAGAAGCCGTATTTTGTCACTAAGGAACATGCACCCTGTAGCTGGCTGTATCTGCCTGTGTTTGCAGATTGAGGTATGATCCCTGTAGCATTTTGCCATTTCCCTCTTTCCCAGAACACACTTGGTTCCAGAACATGACAGGGAAAGAGGAGAGCTGGACTGAGAGACGCTCCCCTTAGTCTGAGCCCATGCCCTCTCCCCTGGCTGTGCTCCCTTCTCAGCCTTGGGGGGTGGAGCTTTGCCCTCACTGCCTCTCCCCTGCCCTGCCCGGGCTCCCTGTCTCCATCCCTGTCTCCGTATTTGACTGCAGCTGGACCACCTGACCCCGACCCCACTGTCGGAGGTGGCTTGGTCTGGCTGCTCTTAAACTTGGGGTAGTGTCTCGGTCCCTGAGAGGGGGCTGTCCTTCAGGACACTGGGTTTTAGAATGTCTCTGAACAGGTGGGACCTGTGACAGTGTTTGTATATCGAAGCTCTTATTCATGAATTTGTTTTGAGGACACATCTTTGTTAACTGCAGTCCTTCTGATCATGGTGGTGGTGGTGGAATTGTAGGCACTTGCTAGAGAACAGGCAGTTTTAGGTACAGTCACAGTGAAATTCCATCTCAGCGAATCACCTACTTTATCCTGAAATACTTCTGATCATGATTTCTTCTTTAAATCTTGTTTCTTGTTTAAATCTCCCTCATTCTAACAGAAGTGCAGTCTCTTGTATGTAGTAGAAAGGAATGGCTATTTCCGTGTGTTCTGTGCTCCGTGACTCTGGAAAGCATTTAAAGGTAGATCCATTTTTTCTTCTAAATAAACCGTTCCAGCTGCATTATTCTTTCCTCATTGTTACTTTCTCACACCCTGTGTTTTGGGCTTTCTCCAGGATCTCCACGGCTCCCAGAGGCATATACCCCTGAGCGAGGTCATTACTTAGCAACAGTTTGCCCAGTGCGTGGAAGTCATGAGGAAATGGACTTTTATGTCAAAGTTTCCCTGTGTGTAGTTAGAACGTTGGGGTCTTTTAAGTAATTCAGTTGTGTGTTGTGCTTGCTGTTTAGGCACGCATACAAGGCCCTGGGCTGCTCGGATGGTGTCCTGGGCTTCTCTCTACCCCTTTTCCCAGGGTAGCAGATACTTCCTTGTGCCCAGTTGTGATTTCAGCTTGTTGCCACATGAGGGCATTTTAGGTTCTGGTGACAAATCTGAGAACCTGAACTGAAGGTTCACAGCAGAAGTGAGCACACATTGGTGAAATGCTGGGCATCGTGGGCGCGGAGCTGGGCCGCTTGGTGCGGTGGTCACAGGAAATGGGGAGGGGACAGCTCCTCCCCGCTCAGTGAGTGAGTGTGGATCATGGTCCCTGGGGTCACGTTACCTGAAGAGGAATTCCCCTGCGTGGTTTTGTTTTTTGCAGAAAGGAAACCACCTTTGTTTTACATAGTTGCTGTAGGTCAAGAAGGTAAAACTGGAATCACCCGTTGTGAAAGGGTCTTTAGAGCCTTAGCTCCCCGGGGAACTGAATGTGTGGCCTCATTTAAAACTGTATTCCACGTAGGGTGTTGTAGGGATTAAGTCTCCTTTAATGATCTTTTGACTTGGAGGTGAGCTACCTTTTTCCTTTCTGGGTTTCATATCAGGAAAGCGACATGCCTGTGCCTAGCCTAATTGGGAATGTTCTGACACACCCAAGGCAGTGGGCACTGTGAGAGGTTCCTGTGATGTCATCCGTCAGGCTGTGTCCCAGCTTGCCTTTCAGACTCCGGCTTCTGTTGATGATTAGGGGAAAGGAAAATAAGACACACTCCAGGAAAAGAAGAGAAAGAGAAAGGAACCGGTCCTTCTTTAATGAGCTAGGCCACCGTGGCTGTTTACTTCTTATTCTCCATGGTGTTCTTCTCTTACTATGTTGATCAGGTGGTTAAACTAGATACACATTGTTTTTTTGAATGTCAAAACTTTGGGGATACACAGTATATTGGAAATTAGGCTTTATATTTCTAATCAGGAAAGAGGTTTTTACCTTATCCCCCGTCTCGCATGCCTGAGGCGCCTTCCTATGTCGGGCATTAGGGAGTGGCAGGGAGCCTGCCATTGAGCTCAGTAGCTGCCGGGGTGCTTTGTGAAGACACCGCGTGGACCCTGCCCGAATGTCCCCATGCTCTGGCTGTGGTTGGAGCCGAGCGAGGGAAATGGTGCCTTTGTATCTCAGCCAGAGCCACCGTTTCACCCCAGCAGCCTCCTGGGGTTGGGGAGGGGGTGCTTTCTGAGTCCACAATTCCAGACGTAGGTCTTCCATCCCAAACCCAGACAAATGTGCAGGAATGAATTCTGGAAACAAAGGTAGGTTTCAGAGGCTTCGCAGTTTCTTGGGATCCCGTGATGGATTTCTTGGTGTTAACACCTTTTTATCTCTCTGTTTCTTGATAATCCAGTTACCGGAAAAACTCATAAGCAAATACAACTGGATCAAGCAGTGGAAACTTGGGCTGAAATTTGAGGGGAAGAGCGAGGACCTGGTTGACAGAATTAAGGAGTCCCTCATGCTGCTCAGGAAGAAGGTTTGGAACGTGTAGTTTTTTTGCTCTGATAGGCGCAGAGCTCTCACTCCTGACCGCCCCAGCCGACCGCTTCTTGGTCCCCACCTAGGGGACTGCCACATGCCCGTGGCGGGGGTTTAGGCAACACGATTTAAATGAACACAAAGTCTTCCTGTGAAGGCTTTAGGAAGATGGGGAAATAACACCATTTATTATGTTTAGTGAAATGTTTAACTTTCTTCAAAGGAAACCTTAAACAAGTGTAGTCTTTGTTCGGAGTCATAGTGACAAGCTTCAGGGATAGTCTGTATTTTGTCTTTATTTCTTACAGTATTATCAGTGATATGAGTGCATCTTTATTAAATTCTTCCCAATTATGTTGATGTTTTAAGATTCTCTCCATATTTATTAGACTTGTTTTCATTCCTGAATGATTGTCCTGTGAGTAGATTCAGTGACTTATCTTTTGAAAACTGTCCTGAGAGTTTCTCTAAACAGAATTACAGGGAGAACTTGGTTGGCAGATTCCCAGTGATTTGGTTAAGAAAATACTCCTGTTCTGGAGTGTTCCACAGGGTTTGGATGTCCTTGCACACTGGTCCACACTGTCTACTAGGTAGCTTGCTTGAAGCTTTCTTCAGGAACCCTGGCCTGAGGCGCTTGCTGATGGCTTCAGGCTTTGTAAATGGGAGGGAGGCGGGTAAGGGAGGGCAGACGACTTTCTTTCTTTCTCTCTTTCTTTCTCTCTCTCTCTCTCTTTCTTTCTTTTCTCGCGCTCCCTCCCTTCCTTTAAAAGTTTATTTACTTTGAGACAGAGAGCTCGTGCAAGTGGGGGAAGGGCAGAGAGAGAGGGGAGAGAGAATCCCAAGCAGGCTCTGACCTGTCAGCCCTAAAATCAAGAGTTGTACACTTAACGGACTGAGCCACTTGGGCTCTCTTTTCCAGAGCCCTCAGCACTTACGCTGCATGTTGATCGGTTTTCCCCAGTATAGTCTGCCATCCAGTTAGACTTTGAACTCCACGAGAGACTGTCCAGCTCAATCCTTTTCAGCCAGTGAGTACTAAGCCTGACACATGATAGGTGTTTGGTAAATATGTTGTGTAGTAAGTGAACTGAGGGCGTTGACCTCCTGGAACTTAGTTTTTGTTGACAAACATAAGAGTTTAATGGAAAGTTCACTGTCAAGGGCAGTCTAGTGGTAAAGAAACTGTGACGAGAGAAGGGAATAGGAACTCTCTTCTCTTGGCCCCTCAGAGTGGAGCTTGGGGTTCATAGAGTACAGGCTTGGCAGGGGTGGGGCCTGCGCTTTACCCAGGATCTGGGTTAGGGGGCCGCTGAGAGCAGGAATGGGGCCGTTTGAGGGAACCGGAAGGCCCTTCAGCTGGGCCGCTTGTGACAGTTTCCTTTTCGTGTCTTTTAAGGTCTTGTGAAATTGCAACTTTATCAGTTGTGTCTGCTATGACTAGATCCTCAGTTTTGGGAATGTTTAAGTGATTCCAATTCACAATGACATAAAAATTACTCATTAGTAATCTAAGCCAACATAACTGGTACCTCTCACGTGCCAGGCTGCCCGCGAAACACTTCATGGGTTAATTCTCATAACTACCGAGATGTAGTGGCTCTATTATCCCTGTTGTAAAGATGTCTGTTAGTGCCACCAGCTGCTTGATGGCAAGGCCTTCATTCCATCCTGATCCTGACTCTAGAGCCATGCTTTTCCCTGCCGGCTTGGTTGCTTCTGGAAAACGTGTGATGTTCCAGATTCCAGCCACATATTGAAGAGAATCCTGTGGTACGGTCATTACCATTAAAATTTACTATTGAATTTAGAATTTTAATGGTTTTTGAGAGGAACAGTAGTTACTGGTTATTCATACGGACTAGTTTCTGGGGTGCCTGGGTGACTCAGTTAAGCATCTGACTCTTGATTTTGGCTCAGGTCATGATCCCATTGTTTGTGGGTTTGAGCCCTGCATTGGGCTCTGCGTTAAAGGTGCAGAGCCTGCTTGGGATTCTGTCTCCCTCTCTCTGCCCCTTTCCTGCTCTATTTCTCTCTCTCCAAATAAATAAACATTAAAAAAATATAATAAAAAGACTCTGAACTTTGTCTCCTCATTTGCTTGAACTTAAAAGCACACATATTTATTGAGTTTTCTTGTTCACTTAAGAGTTTGTCTCTGTGGGGCGCCTGGGTGGCTTAGTCGGTTAAGCGTCCGACTTTCGCTTAGGTCATGATCTCCCGGTTCGTGGGTTCGAGCCCCACGTCGGGCTCTGTGCTGACTGCCAGCTCAGAGCCTGGAGCCTGTTTCGGAGTCTGTCTCCCTCTCTCTCTGACCCTCCCCTGCTCACGCTGTCTCTCTCTCTCTCTCTCCTAGAAATAAATAAAAATATTAAAAAAAAAAAAGTTTGTCTCTGTTAGCTGAGTATCTAGTACTCTGCTTTATTCTTCATCAGGAGTTGGTAAACATTTCCTGAGTGGATATATTCATTTGAAATTCCCATGTATATTTTTAAGAAGTTAGAGGGGAGACCTTAGTAAATTAACAATAAAGAGACCTCACAGTCTTCCTTGCCCAACTTCATTTTTACAGCTTGACTTGGTGTTTCCGGGTGGTCAGTGCCCTGGAAACCCCTTAAGGGAGTGAGTAATTTTAGCTGCCTGTCATAGCCTCACACACCGGCCTCACATACACCTTGTTAGCTCCTTCAGAGTATTCCTTTTTTTTTTTTTTTAATTAAAAAAATTTTTTTAATGTTTATTTTTGAGAGGGAGACAGAGCACAAGGTGGGGAGAAGAGGCAGAGAGAGGGAAATGCAGCATCTGAGGCAGGTGTCAGGCTCCAAGCTATCAGCACAGAGCCTGATGCGGGCCTCAAACTCATGAACTCTGAGATCATGACCACCTGAGCCAAAGTTGGATGCTTAACTGGTTGAACCACTGAAGTCGATGCTTAACTGAGCCACTCAGGCGCCCACCTCCAGAAGTATTTCTGATTGACTGGTTCAATTTTTTTTTAAATATTCTTTTTAATGTTTATTTTAGAGAGAGAGAGAGAGTGAGAGGCAGGGGAGGGGCAGAGAGAGGAAGACACAGAATTTGAAGTAGGCTCCAAGCTGTCAGCACAGAGTCTAACACAGAGCTTGAATCCATGAACTGTGAGATCATGGCCTGAGCCAGAGTCAGGCGCTTAACCGACTGAGCCACCCTGGCACCCTTTGGTTCAATTTCATTGTCTAGCGTTCTAGGGGAGTTGAAAGTTCCATTCTGTGGCCTCAGGGCTTCTTAGTGCACTGTATTTTTGTTTCAGATTAATGGGGGAGAAGCTGAATAAGGAATTTGTGTGGTCCAAAGAGTACAATTGTTTGAGCTGAGAACTTCAATGTTGTGAAAGTTGGTACATAGTCCATGACTGCTACTTTTGAAAATAATTTTGTGCTCGTAGGATGGAAGTATACCAGAGTGTTTTAGAGCAAACGTTTAATTGTCTTGTACCTTTCTTGTTGTAGTGGGCAGGCCTGGCGGAACTAAGAAGTGCCGAAGCAAGGCAAATAGCTTGTGATGAACTGTTCACAAACGAGGAAGAGGAATATAGCCTCTATGAAGCTGTAAAATTTCTAATGCTAAACAGAGCCATTGAACTATATGATGATAAAGAGAAGGGAAAGGAAGTACCATTTTTCTCTGTGCTTCTGTTTGCTCGGGACACATCGAATGATCCTGGACAGCTGCTAAGGAACCATCTAAACCAGGTGGGACACACTGGTGGCCTTGAACAGGTGAGTTGCGCCTTTGGGAGTGTAGTAGTCCAAAACCGCAGCTGTCATCAGCAGACGGTGTTCCCGAGCTTTCGCTGGGCAAGCATTCTGGAGCAGCTTAGTTGTGCGGTTCTGTCTAGGGGCCTCAGGAGGTTGCAGTCCTCTGAGGGCTGGGCTGGGTGGGAGGGCCCACTTCCGGCATGGTCCGCCTGTCGGCAGGAGGCCTCGTTGGTAGCTTAGGAGGGTTTAGTTCCTCCACACATGGGCCTCCCCTTGGGTTGCCTGAGTGTCTGTGACATGATGGCTGGCTTCTCTCAGAAGGTGAAGTGATCCAAGAAGAGGGGAGGAGGAAGCCACAGTGTGTTGTGTGATCGCGCCTTGGAAGTTAAACGCCGTTGTTTACGCCATATTCTATTTATTAAAAACAAGTCACTAAATCCATCCCACACTCAAGGGGAGAGCATTCGTTCCACCCACCTTTTCAAGGGGGGTGGGGGTGTTGCAAAAGAATTGTGGATCTGTTTTGTAAGTACCACGTTGATTTCGGCCTGGGCTGGCTTCTGCAGGGTGGCAGATGGGGTCAGTACGCCCGCGTCTGGTAGGCTGCAGATAAATGAAGCAGAGGGTCTTCTTATTTAATCTGAGCAGCTGTAGCTGTACTAGCTAGCATCCTTTAAAAATAGAAAGGGAGTTGCCTTAGCCAGTAGAGACTAGCCTGCTCTTGGATCTTTCAGAGATGCTAAGCTTGGGTTCTACACAGAGACCTGGTGCAGTCCTGTCCCGGGACTCACCACACCTTGCCTGTGTGTACTGCCCTCATTCTGTGACCCTAAAAAGCTTAAGTCCTTTTTAGCGGAATAGCCAATCATTAAAGTAGCATTTAAGGCTATCCATCCAAAGTGCTACCTCCATGCTTACGTGACCCACTCACACTTAACCTTTTCCTGGTGTGTAGGAAAGAGCAGAGGCTGACGCTCACTGCCGGCTCAGGGAGAATTAACGGCAGCCACTTACAAAAAGTATCTGCACTCCCAGCATAGGCTACTTACGTCTCCTGAACCGAAGCACATGGCTTCAGCGAAAAGTCTGGGGCGGCTGGTCAGCAAATTAGACTGAAGTTTGTTCTTTGAGTCCTCACAAAGTCTACTGTCAGGGCGAGTCCGTTTTTAAAACAGAACGGCTTTATTGAGATATAATTTACATACCATAAAGTTTGCCCTTTTGAAGTGTGTAACTCAGTGGTTTTTAGCATTTTTATAGAGTTTTACAGCCATCACTGCGGTCTAATTTTAGACCATTTTGTCACTCTTAAAAGAAACCCTGTACTGATTGGTGCTAATTCCCCCTCCCCTTGAGCCCTAGGCAGCTACTAATCTACTTCCTGTTGCTGTAGATTTGCCTATTCTGGACATTTCCTATAAATGGAATCATACAATACATGCTTTTTTGTGACTTCCTTCTGTCACTGAGCATAACGATTTCAAGTTCATCCATATTGCAGTGTGTCTCACCAGCAGTATTCCATTGTGTGTATATACCAATGTATTCCATTGTGTGGCAGATCACTCTTCATTCATGCTTCAGCTGATGGACATTTGGGGTCTTTCTACTTTTTAGCTATTTTGAATAATCTTGTTATGAACATTTATGTGCAGGTTTTTTGTGTGGACACACGGTTTCATTTCTCTTGGGTATATACCTAAGATGTACTTCTTTTTCTTTTTTTAATTGAAGTTCATGAATCACAAAATTAACCATCCTAAAGTCTATAAGTCAGTGGCTCTTGGTACGTTTAAACGTATGATCACCACCTGTGTCCACACCATGTTCATCACCCCGCAGGAAACCTGGTCCCAGTTCAGTAGTGCTGCCTCATTCTTCTCTGTTCGATCATAACTGTTGTGGGGGGTGTGAAGTGGTAGCTCAGTGTGGCTTAGGTTTGCATCCCCCTGATGACTTTGCAGGTGCTTGTTACCCATTAGAGTATCTTCTTTGGATTAATGTCTGTTCTTTTCAAATCCTTTGCCCAGTTTTTGAACTAGTTATTTGTTTTTTTAAATTGTTGAGTTATAAAAGTTCTTTAAAAAAACTTTTTTTTAACGTTTATTTTTGAGAGAGAAAAAGAGACAGTGCAAGCAAGGGCAGAGCAGAGAGAGAGGGAGACACAGAATCTGAAGCAGGCTCCAGGCTCTGAGCTGTCAGCACAGAGCCGGACATGGGGCTCAAACTCACAAACCCCAAGATCATGACCTGAGCCAAAGTCAGAGGCTTAACTGACTGAGCCACCCCGGAGCCCTGCGTTATAAAGGTCTTTATATATTCTGGACGCACGTCCCTTATCAGATGTTTAGTCCATTTTTGGTGACCTGCTTATTTGTAACACCTGTCAAGGAGAGGCCAGGGCCCAGGTGGGAGAAGGAAGGGGGGTTGTGGCCTCCCTGTACTGTGGGCTGCCTGCCATGCGTGTGAGGGAGCAGGTGGTACGCTGCATCTGCAGGGTGGCTTCCCGCTGCAAACCTGTTTGCTCTTTTCCCCAGGTGGAAATGTTCCTCCTGGCCTATGCCGTGCGCCACACCATTCGGGTGTACCGGCTCTCCAAGTACAGCACCGAAGAGTTCATCACGGTCTACCCCACCGACCCGCCCCTGGACTGGCCGGTGGTGACCCTGATTGCTGAGGACGATCGGCACTACAACATCCCCGTCAGAGTGTGCGAGGAGACGAGTCTGTGAGACACGCACCTGGACAGCCTGGCCCCACGGCCAAGGTGCACCGGCCGCTCCGTGCCGCGGCCCTCGGTCTCAGGATGACCCGCAGGACCTGTTGGGGCCTGAGAGCCATGCCGGCTGGGGCTGTTCTGAAGACAGCTTTTGATAATAAGAATTAACTAAGTGTTTTCCCTCACCTTTGATGCAACATGTCTCACTGGGGGCCTTCAGAGTACTTCTTTTGGAAGGTACAGATGACATCTTCTCCATGATGCAGATCTTTTGTACCACAGGAGAGGAGTATGTTCTTTACGTCTCAAAAATCAGACTCTCGAATGTGAACTTGCCCTCAGTTTTTTCTTAAGATGGTCATTTTTTTGTTTTGGTGGCGACGGGCCTCTGGAGTGGCTGTCCTGTGCCGTGCGGCGTAAGTGGTGTAGCTCGAGGCGGAGCCCGCGGCTGGCGCAGCCACAGCACCCTCTGCCGGCCTTGCTGAGCAGTGGTTTGGACGTACGTGTTCATTAAAGCCGTCCTAAGCAAACTGTCCCCTAGAAGATTAAACACTGGGTCCAAAAAAGGTATTTAAGGCTGGAGAAGGAGCCGCAGGAGGGATGTGTGGCACATCCCTCCTGACTCTGAGCGTGCGGCAGTGCCTGCGGGCACCGGGTCCGGTGCTTCGTGCACGGGGGGCGCTCTCGGCTGGGTGAGCTCTAGCGTCGGGCCGCTGATTACCCTCCACTTCGCAGACGCACCATTTTATAGTCAGAACAGAGCTGAGATCCATCTGCCTTTTTAGAGCAGGAAACCGAGGCCAGCTGACGGCAGGCACTCGTCTGAGGTCAGGGGTGAGTGGGCGCCGGATCTCGATACCCCCGTGTGCCCTTTCCGGGGCATGGTTTTGAGGCTGTTTCTGCTGCCAAATTCGAGTGCCTGCCGGGAGCTGGGCAACGACAGCAAAGCCTCCGGCAGTTTTCATGAGTGAGATTCAGTAGAAGCATGTACTAAAACCGTGTGCCGAAGTATGGCTGCTGCGACTTGGTTTGGGAAGCCTCTGGGAGGCGGTGATGCTTCTGGCCCTGAGCCATAGCCTGCACTGAGGCCTGGGTGGCGACCGGGGTGGGGTCGGGCCTGGCTGCAGGCGGTGAGGGTCCGAGTTATCCACACGGGGCGTGGGCTGTGCACCTTTGTACGTGGGACCAGACACCTCACGGTAGTGCTGTACCGGCATTTGTGGAGGTAGTGTTACCTGAGGTACCGAGCTTTATTTTATAGAAATTACAAACTCTATTTGGTTCAATTTAACATAGTTAATAAGCTATCAAATATCTTTTGGGAGTGGCAAACCTTTGAAAATTTAAGTTTTGCTTTATACTTAAAAATTAAAATTCTCATGAGAAAACTCAGAGGACACACAACTATGCAGACTGTTACATTAAGAGTTCCACATTACTTCGTCAGTAACATACACCACGTTTTCGTAAGTGTTTATTCATTAGAGTGTTTGAATCAAGTTCTATTCTGAGTGTGTGTGAAAGTGTTGGAGAGGCTTCGTGGTTTTCACTGTGAAATGGAATGGTGCCTTGAATAAGGAGGTACCTAGAAGCCAAATTAAAGTAACAATAATGACTTCTTATTGGCCTTGATGCTTCATTTCAGTGTTTGTAACTGTACAACAGGAAATGCTTACTATTCATTCTTGAACATTTTTTAAAGCACACTTCAGCGCTTAGGCACAGGGCATTGAAGGTCTTGTCTGGGCTGCGTTGCCTCTGGCTGTGGTTCACACCTGCTGTCAAATTTAGTCATACTCAAGATCATCTCCCTTTGCATGTTGAAAGTGTTCTAGTCTTTGTGAACTTGAACTGGACTTCTGGGCAACTTGTTTACATACATACTTCTTTCTTGATCCTGTGTATGGTCTTGTTAGAGTGCAGAAACTGTGGTCTTCACCACCACATTGATGAAAGTTTGAAAGCATGTGTTTGAGTTAGTTGCTTTCTGTCCCAGCGCCTTACTGGACTCTACTCTCAGACTGTTATCTGGGCTTTGTGGGATCCCACCATCAGAGAAGCAAAACCTTCAAAGAAACAGTAGTTCAGGAAATACAGAAGATCGGCCGAGTTTAAAAAATAACATTTCTTTGCTGTAGCCTGCAACTTCAGTTGCCCAGAATCTTAATTCCATTCATCATTCCTGATGTTGGGCTGGTCAGGTGACAGCAGCGGAATAGAAAGTGCACTGAGACCAAAACAGATGCAGGCCAGTCTGCTTAGAGGGTCCTCCACAACGATGAAGCGTTCTAGAAGAAGGGAACGCAGTGGCGGCCCCCCAGGCTCACTGTCATCCCCAGAGTTTATTGGGAGACTTCAGACGTTTTGGACCCTGTGGTCTTGGCGGGAAGATTATCTCTGTCTTAAGCAGACATGACTTCTACCTTTGAGCTCATTTAAGGTGCATTTAAACCTGAAAGAATTTCCCTGTAACGAGTTCCCTAGGGTTAACCTTGCTTCCTCAGGACATTTTCTGGCTCCTGTCCTCACCTATTTAGCAACATCTGCATGCACAGCACACGCTGATTTGACTCAGACATGCGGAACAATAATGGCCAGGGTGGGGGCGGGGGGCAAGAGGCAGATGCGTGGTTTTACACTTGTGATCCAGGCCTCCGTGGGGTTTGATCTGAAATGTTTGCAGGGCCTCTTCCGTAGAATATGGCGTAGCTGGAAATGTCTCAGACACGCAGAACACGGTTGACCCCGCTTTCTTTATGTAGCCCTTTACCCTTTTATTAGATGTTCTGTATCGCGTTAAGTAAGGGCTGAGGAAAGTTTTTAGGTGTTGCCTTTGTACCCTTTCATTCTTCTCTTCCTTCCAGCTGGAAGACTTATCAGGTAAAACTCTCAGGCCGTATGAATCTTAACACCTCCGCCAGAAGAAACGCCTTTTGTGGGTTTTTATGTGCTTTTTATTTCAAGAGGCAGCGTTTTCTCTCCTGCGCTGCCCCTCAGCCCAAGCTGCTGTGTCACCTCACAGTCTGTAGGCTGCTTCTGGAAGGTCTCTGGATAAAGCTGGTAAGTGCTATCTATCGCCTTTAATGATGTAGCGCTCTTAGTATTGCTGCCTTTGCACAGGACCCCTGTAGACTTCCCCTGTCTCTTCTTTCTGATGTTAAAACAGTTGATTATTTTTTTCCACTTTCTTTATTAAGCAGTACTTTGCAGGTACTCCCCCCTTGAAATCCCAGAAGTACTTTCAGAAGTATAAACCTCCAGGGAATCTTATTTGTAGGCATACATAGAAATCTGTGACTACTTAAAACCCAATGAAAAGGAAGCCCTCTGTGTGTGCGAAGTGAATCTGAAATGTGTGTGAAGGGCCCAGAGTTCCCAGATTGCTTGGCAAAAGGCCAGAACGGCCCAAGGAACTGTAAGAAGCAGATTGAAAAAGGAACGGATTTTAGGGTAAAAATGTCACTTAAAGACAAAACAGTGGATCCCTGACAGACCTCCTGGGCCTGTATTATAAGTAGATAAAAATCTGAATGAGTAGAAGGACTTCTTTGTAAGGATTCTGCAAATCCCTTTTCCTAAAATTTATTAGATTTTACTCTGTTGGACGGATGTATAATATTCAATGCTTGACTCTTCTGGAAAACCTTAATGATCCCTTGTGAGGAGGTGGAGAGACCAGGGAACCAATACTGAGTTGTGCAGAGAATAAGGACGGGCAACTGACGGTTAAAGCCATTCTCATTCCGTTTATAACTTGGAGCCTGGAAAAGCACAAAACTAACCCGGTTTCTCTGTCTGCGGCCCTGGTGGCTGCTAGCAGTGGGGGCGAGGTGGGCTCTGCCAGGGCCCACCTTCCCCGCCCCTACCTCTCACCCCTGTAGGGGCAGATGGAGGGTCAAGTATGCCTGCACAGCAGGGGACCCAACAGCAGCATGTGGGAGGGGGAAGGTGAGCTGTCCCATTTGTATTTTTTTCATGGAAAATTGAAATTTATTACTAGGAATGATGGAATGGGTTAGTACATAGAATTAAACTGTGCAGAATGGCCTTTAAGTCTGGAAATAAAGATATGTTAATTGCATTGAAGTATCCTATCAGTAAACCACTTATTAACAGAATGTCACTGTTCCCCGGCCTTCTGGCCATCTGTGTATTTTAAATAGTTTGAATGTTCATTCCCAGCCCAGGCTATTAGTGAAGGAGAACCCTGGCTAGAATTTTGTCTGTCATATTGATTTCTTGGCTGTAAGTCTGGGTCAGGAATGAAATCACCAGAACGTGGTTAATCAAGGAAAGGTTACAGGCCTCGAAAATATCTGCGGTCTTAGTGGTCTAGCCTTCACTTAGTAACCAGGGGCTGAGCTTAATTATGAACAAAATAATATTTTGTACTTAAATTCTAGGAGCTTTTCTATAATAAATGCCTCGATCTGTGTGCCCATAAACGGTGCTAAAATATGGTACCCTTTACAGGAACCAGGGCAGTCCACGGGAATGGTGATTGCTTCTGGGTATTTCGATGTGGGAACAAAGCCAAAATGAATGTATCTAATGAAATCCCACCTCAATTCCGTTGTTTTAGTAAATATTCGGTGTCGTTACCTGCATTGTAGCAGCTTCTGACTTTCAGTATTGTGAATTTGGAGAGGATATCCGCCAACTTCCGCCTTTGGCAGTGCGTGTCCTTCCCTGTGGGCTGGCCTGGCCCTCCTCCTCCCAGCCGGTTTTGCAGTCTTCCTGTGTTTACACTGTAAAAATGTTAGCCTTTGTCAAAGACCTCTGCCCCAGGAAGGGTGCCCTGGAGCCTCTGGTCGGTTTGAGGCTGTGCTCTGCTGCCGCTGCCGCTGTGGCAGATGCCTGGGGGCAGGGGTGGGGGCGGGGCCGGGGAACTCCTCTGACTTGTTGAGTCAGGTCTTCACTGTTGGAGGCTGAGCTGACTCCAGCTTCACTGTTGATGCCCTTTAGCAAACCTGACCCCTAGGGATTGTACAAATAAATAATCAGAAATAAACATAGAAAATAAAAGATCAGAAGCCTGGCTGTGCTGCTATGTTGCTTTTGAGGACTTAAGAGATTTGGGTCCAATACTGGAAGTTTCTAGAAACTCCACCCCACCCCACCCCCTGTGCCCACAGGCTTGTGATGCCTGATGACTTCAGAGTGCCGTGTTAAGTGCTGCAGAGCAATGAGGTGCGTCGTTCCCGACTTGGGTCTGGGCTCAGGATGAGGTGCGCCCACTTCGCCGGGCCTTCAAGAGACCCCGTAGGCCTGCTTCCAGGCCGCAGTCCCAGTGCCGACCCGCCTCGCCCCGTGTTTGCCGAGAGAGGCCCGTGGTGCACGTGCCCTGCCGGGTGCCCAGAGCCGCTCAGACCCACGAGTATCCCAGCAGGCACTGTGCGCCCCCGTAGGAGTTAGACTGGCCGGAAGGAAATTAAGCCCGGGGAGGGCTGGGCTTTCGTAGGGACTCCTGGGGCCAGAGAATGAAGTTTGAGGCCACAGAGACCTCCCTTCCTGGTGGACCGTTTGCAAACTGGTGCTGGGGCTTCTGAGGGACCTTGGTTAGGGGGTGGGCATATGCCCGGCTGGAGCTGGGCTGCAGGAAGACCTTCCTGGGACGGACAGCAACAACGGACTATTTTCTCCTCCCCCGCACCGTTCAGTCGGCTAATGGACAAAACATCTGATACAAATATGCTTTCCTCTCCACTTACTGATTATGGCGTCCTCAATCCCAAGGGCAGTGTTTCTGGCATTTCTCCGTGGCCTCCCACCGCCCGCAGGTGTGGGGCTGTGGGTGCTAGGGAAACCCTTAGGAATATTTTTACTCCCCATCAAATGGTAAAATACCAACTGTCCTGTGTGTGTTCACAATGAGCGTGTATTTCTACAGCTCGTTTTCATTTAATCTCTGTCTTGCTCAAGAGCTTCTGGGCGTTCTTTCTGGAGGATTTCTTGTCTCCCCTTCCCACTCCCCTACTCCTGCCTCTTGTCAGGGCACACAGATGGCCCAGTAATGACCTTCTGACCTCCTGGGTCTGGAGGGTTGAGTCTAGACCTCTAGCCCGGAAGAGGCAGAACAGATTTGGCCTTTGGGGTGGAAAGCCCTGAGCGACACTACTGTCTCAGCCCCCCAGAGGGAGTGAGTTTTCTGCCCTGCCCCCCATCTGGCAGCCCAGGCCTCTGGCATCACAGGGTGGTCGAGAGGTGTGCCGATGGTGGTGCTGGTACTTTACGCGCACTGATACTAGTTTAGATTATTTATCACAGCTTAGGACAGAGCCTTCCAAATACTTCCTGGTGCCTTCTCCCCAAATCAAGAACTGGAACGCAGTGTAGGGCAGAGGAAATGCCACGCTGTTCATTTGGGAGATGGCACTCCTCAGAATTCTCGGCGAGAACACTGAAAATAAAAAGCTGATAGTACAGCAGTTGCTGGTTTATGCACGTGAGGATCACGTCCTAAGTGCGCTAGGGTCATGAGGAACACGATATACTGGTAAGGCTTTAAAACATCTTTGAAAAACATTATATAGTTAACGCCACCGAAGGTTTCCAGCTTTTGTCATTGTAAGTAAGTGCTGTCCTACGCGTTCCCATGCATGAATCTTTTGAGGCGTTTCTA